TATATATATATTGATCAACACGATCAATTCGAATCAATACGAAGAAGTTCAATATATAAAGTTAAGAAAATAAAAAATCGAATAATAACGATAACTTAAAAATTATAAACTATGCAAAGATAAAGAGAAAATTTAATTAAAAATAAAATCCAATTGAATATTGTCTCATCTTTGTTATAATATTAGGTTGTCCCAGATAATAGAGCAGAACGGTTCATATATAACATAGTAAATCAACCTTAAACAATAAATATCAACTATTAAAGTCGCATCAAAAAAAGGAAGAAACTTACGGGACAACTTAATACATCGAAAAGTGAAAGTACATGAACCAAGCTTCGTACAAAGTTACGATGACCGGTTTTGCTGTATACTGTTAGAAAGAGATGGAATGAAGTTTGTTTAATGAGGAGGGGGAAAACATGAAATTCTTACGTAAGGTCGTTCAACACTAGTCGTGTCGTCAGTATCGATTGGATCTTCAATTGGATAGTATCGTTCTTGTTCAATATTGCTAGTACTAACTGATAATAGTAAAGTATTATTTAATTAATTATTAATAAATAATAATAATAGTATCTTGGAATAATTATTAAGATAAAGATAAATATTTTATTGATGCAATAATGGTGCACTACAAATTATCTTATTTCGATGTAATGGGCTTGGGCGAGCCAATAAGATTCTTGCTAAGCTATGGTAGCGCCAAATTTGAAGATATTCGTATTGGTCGCGACGAATGGTTGAAATATAAACCAGGTATGTGTTTAGAGTTTTTATTAAAATAAAATTAAAATATTATTATATATATTTTTTTAATATACTGTTATAGCTTATGACTGTTTATAGCTTAAAATAATGAAATTATTTTTCTATTGTTTTTTTGCAGATACTCCATTCGGTCAGATGCCAATTTTAGAATTCGACGGTAAAGTTTATTCGCAAACAATACCAATTTGTCAATACTTAGCGAAGAAATATAATTTAAATGGTAAAACAGACTTGGACGATCTACAGATCAATGCTATTGCTTCTGCGCTTCATGATCTCAGAAAACGTAAAATTTAAATATTTTTAAATTTTGTTATGTTAAATATTACAATATATTATGTTTTTGAATTTAATTTACTAATTGTCGTTTCTTCATTTATTTATAGAAGTAGCACTTTTCTATAGAGGCACTGATCCCGTTGAAAAGGCCAAAAAAAAGGAAGAAGTTTTGTCTACAATTTTACCATTTTATTTGAAAAAATTAGAAGAACTGGCACGTAATAATGGTGGTTATTTACATGGCGGTCGGGTAAAAATCAAAACCATTTTTATCATTATTTTATTAATAACGAATTTCTTTTTTAATAATATACAGATTGTAAGCTAAAAGTTCTTAGGTGGTTTTAAAAAATCAGTTAATTTTTTTTTTTAATATTAATCTACATCTTCCACAATGCAGAACAGAAAATATTTTTTACCATTTTTTTTTTTTTTTTTTAGCTGAGTTACGCCGATTTATTCTTCGTGGCTATTTCGGATTCAATTAACAATGCTTGCGAGTTAGATATTACCAAGGATAATCCTAATCTAAAATCTCTCAAAGAGAAGGTACTTGCAATTCCAAAAATAAAAGAATGGGTTAACAAGAGACCTAAAAATGACTTTTAAATATTTTTCATAATTTCCAATTTATTATTATCACGCAAGCTTTATTATATTTTTTACAACATATTGTATAGCTGCGATAATAAAATAATTACATTTATCAATATTAAAATCGACGTGTGATGTGTGAATTTTTAATTGGAATTAATTTTAAATGTGTGAATGCAAAAAATAAAATTAAATTAAAATCGTACGAAAATAAACGGATTCGGGTCGAACGTGAAGAGTAATTAAATAAATAATTTATTAAAATATCATCGCGCGTATGTGGATATTTTCTCATACTTTTTTCTTTCTTTTTTTTTTTTACAAAATACCGATGTACAATAAGAAAACAAAAAGTGATGTTGATATGAACATAAACGTGGCTGCAGTTACCGCAAAGAAAACGTTCTTCTTTCGTGATATCTTTGTTGCAACGTGAAAATCTTTTCTCGACTGTAACAAATCGTATATCGATTATTTCGAAATAAATTAAATTAGTATAAAATGAATTAACGACGAATAAAGATTGTGCAGAAACATCTTAAAAAGAGAAAGTGTAACATATTTTCAAAATAATTTATTCCCAATAATAAATGTTTAACGTTTATCTTATAGTACGTGTTAATTTAAATGTGAGTATTTAAGAAAATATACTTTTCATTTATTTTGTGTTTTATCACAATCTTTCTTTACCGCGAATGAATAAGAGATGTTATTGTAAGTATATTGAATAGTAAATATGTGAAAGAATATCAGGAATTATTGTAAACCTTTGACGGTCAGTAAGTCGTGACCTATGGAATCGTACGTATCTGTAATACCGATAACGTGAAGAATTATAATTCGTGAGTTGTTCTTTTGATTAAAAACAAGTTTAATACTACTACTAAGGAAAGGTTCGTATTTCCTAGTAACAAAATACTATATAACAATAAAATTATAATATTATTATTCTATGTGTTCTATTTGAGAAAAAAGACTACAAATTTGGTTTACCTTGATTTGTAAAGATTGAGTCTTCCGAAGAAGATCGTCTAACTTTTGACCTCTGTCTATCAATTTTTGAACACCGTCCATTAACATCTGTCGCACTTCGGCTAATTCATTTTCCAATCTTGGTACGATGTTCATTTCCTGCTGATTGTATTCCTCCTCAAATGAAAATATAAATATAAAATTATATATATATATATTTTCCCGTTAAAGTAATATATTTTATATTTAATTTACAAATATAATTAATTGAAATGAATTAAACAAATATGTACAATAACATATTATGCAAATAATTATGTGTTAAGCATTTGATACTTTTAATAATACAGTCATCGTATAATTATAAATTTAATAAACGACAAAGTAAAATTTACGATAATTTGTTGAAGTGGTTTAGAAAGATCTATGACAGCTAGATTAGTAAGATCCCTCGATAGATCAGCTAATATTGGTACTTCTCTGTAAATATTTCTTAGTTTGTCGAGAAATATTTGAGAACAGGATTCCAATTGAGATACTGCCGATGGAGATTCTGGTTTTATTGTCAAGCAAGCATAATGAAGTTCTCCGATCAGTACATGCACTATATATCTGGAGATAATAACAAATGGTATTTCCCAATGTGATTTTGATTAGATTAAAGGTAAAAAGAAAGGCTCGTTTATATCTAACGATTGATTTTCATTAATTCGATATATTCTAACAATTTCACGAATAATCAAAATTTAAATATATTCTACATAAGCATAAGCGTGTATATAAAATTAAACGGATAATTATGTTTATTCATTTTTAATAAATTTTCAATTCGATAAAAACAATAATATAAGTAGTTCAATTAGTCTCAATTGATTCAATATAATTACGTTAGTGATCGAAAGAAAATTGAAGTGAGAATGCAATAAGAAAAATCCATATATTGGTTTGATAATAACGAGCACAAAAACGCACCGATATCAAATCGAGGATAGCGAGCTTACTTGCCCCGATCGAGGCTGATCCTATCGTTTTCAAGACTCTTAATATCCTGTATCGTAGTTAATGCAATTTCTCGACAATCTGCTTCAGGATCGACCAAGTAATCAGCGACGATCTTGCAACCGGATTTCTCCCAAAATGCAACGACTGCGTAGTGGACGATTAACGACATTTTTCCTTTTTTCTCACCAAAAATTACAAGAAATGCAGAAACACTGACGCTAACAAGGAGAGACAGAAATGATATTTATTCCTGTCGTTTTGTCGCGTTTCTTACTTGGCTACGGTATATCAAATAATGACAAAGAAATTTTGATAAAGTTCAAGAACACCCACATTAACACGCATACAAACAAAAAAATAACATGATTCTCTCCCTCTTTATTTCTCTGATATGCCTATCGGTTTTTTATCACTGGTCGCATTTTCTCTAACAAAATATATTCATGATTTTTTACTAAAACGTATCATTTTTTAAAGAAAAAAAAAAAGATAATTGAATACGTGTATATAATTAACTGAAATGATATTAAAAATCTTTTTTTTCTGATAATGTTATCTTTAATAATAATTAATTGAATATTAAAAAAATAGGTCCTTATTTTATATTTTTCTAAAAATAGAAATAGTAGTAAATTATTACGGTATGATATAGACGAAACCAAAGAAGTGCAGTAGTAAATTAAAATTATTGTTAAGTAATCGATAGAAGTGTCAATTGTTGTCTAAAAGCTCGGATTCTATGATCGGTGCATCGTCCTCCTCGAAATTCCTCTTCAAACTGCCACGTTGTAATCTATAAAAGTTCTTTTATTGAAACTTGTTTATATAACTTTCCGAAAGTTGCGCACGTGTATAAAGGAAATAAAGCATCTAATAAAGAAAATTGAAGATTATAACGCTATGATTTTAGAATTTTTATCATTTATATGTCATTATTTAACCGCTCATGCGCAGTGATAAATTCGAGGGTAAATTATAAAAATCAGAACGATATAATCTTAAATTGTAGTAATTTCTGCCACAGAAGAAAAAAAAATAAGTGCTCTTATTTGCTCACTATTTGCTCAACTTTATTTTATCAAAAATTTTTTATTTATCGTTAATTAGTTGAAAATAATTATTACACTTTGAATAATTATGAAATGGCGACGTCATGAGTGAGATATATGTTAAAGTGTTAGAATTATTTTCAACTAATTAACGATCAATAAAAATTTTTTGATAAAAAAAAGTTGAGCAAATAGTGAGCAAATAAGGGCACTTATTCTTTTTTCTGCTGTTTTCAATTAATTATAACTTATTAAATAATTTATTAATAAATAAAAAAATATGAATTTTGATTTAGCAAATAGTGATCATTTAAGACCACTTATTCATTTTTTTTTTCTGTTAAGGTTCCTTGTAAGCGTTCCTACGGTGACAATTTTATCCTCGATGTCAATACTCGTTGTTAAAAAGGTTTCTGTCTTACTGATAACTGTTCGATATAGTAGATTTTGATATTGACGATTGGGTCAGTAAATTAATAATAGTGAGTCATTGTTTCCTTCAGTTAATAATTTATTCGGTAATGGTAGTAATTTTTTTTATCGGGTAATAGTAGAACGCTGTTTTTCAGATTTTCATATAAATTATTGATTATTGTAGATTATTGTTTTATTATTACTTTACTGTAATCTAGTTTAAAAGAAAGAAATTTTTTGTTAAGGAGGAGAAAATTATTTGAAATTTAGTACAAGAGTTATAAGGTTAGGGTGAGAAAAAAGAAATAAAGAAGTAGAAGGAGAAGGAGAAAAAAATGATATAATTGATTATCTCGAATCGAATTAAAATTTTAACTCTTTAGTAAATTAAAACAAATTTTAAGAAATTAAAAAATAAATTAAACAAAATTGATAATACAGGATATGCAATACATATGTATATATGTATATAATTTCTCAAGGAGGGGAAGAGAGAGAAGAGAATATTAGACGATGTTGTTAATTTGTGAATACTTCGTACGCATTTAATCGAACGAATAATTCATAAATAAGAAAAGAAACTGCTCCCTTTCTCATCGAAACACTTTTTATTCGCATACTTATTGCATCCTGCCTATATCTTAATTCTTCGTAAGAAAATGCGCAAGAGAGCGCTATGATTTCTTTTAAACGTTCGCTTTAGTTTTTTTTTTTTTTTTGCGTTTTCATTAATTCATTTATTTACTTATTTTTTTATTTTCTTTTTTTTTTTTGTCAATTCTTTTTATTCATTATTTCTTTTTCCCCCCTTTTCTTCTGGTTTTTTTTTTCTTTTTTATTTCTTTCATAGTTCGTCGCGGAATGGTACGAGAAAAAATGTGTGTGTGTGTAAACATTAGATAAACAGTACAATATTATATTTTCATCCCCTTTTTCTTTTTTATATATATATTTCTTTTTTCCCCTCGAGTAAAGAAGACGTTATCATTTATTCATTTAATTTGTCTTTTTTTTCTTTTATTTCTTGCTTACTCGGCGTTGATGATTTCGTTATCATTTCCATTTATTACCTTCATATATATATATATATTATATATATATTTTTTTAATGGATTTATTTTTTTAATTTAGCGGAGACTTAAAGTATTACGCGATAAAGGTTTAAAGACAGTGAAAAAAGAGAAGGAAGTTGTGCCGTGTATATCCCATTACGTATATACACGTCTCCGTATGCTTCTATGTATATATACATAAAATATGTATGTACATACGTAGGTAAATGTATGCATGTGTATACGTGTGTACGATGCATCTTCTCTGAGTGTTACTTATTTGTTTGTGTGTTGTTGTTTTTGTTAGTCACAGTGTACGCGAAAAAGAGAAAGATGAATTAGAAATTTGTAGAATAAAAGAGACACGAGAGTTAAAGTGAAGTTAGTTTAGTTAATCTCTTGATTATTTTCTTGTTTTTTTTTGTTTTTTTTGTTTTTTTGTTCTTTTTCCTTTACTTTTCTTGACTTATTTTATTTTATCTTATTATTTTGTTAATTATTCAAGCTTCGAGTAGAATTCAAAAAAGAGATCGACAATTCTTTCTCCTATTCTTAAATTATTTCTCCCCTCTTCTTCTTCTTCTTCTTCTTCTTCGTTCTTCTTCGTTTTCTTTTTTTTTTTCTTTTTTGTTCTTTTTCTACATTTTCTTGCCATCGAAATTTTTCACCTTTCGTTTATCTTTATCATCATTTCCCTATTTATTTAAAACACATTCTTATCGATATTTAAAAACCCGTACTTAATTGTGTCGTACGTAATTTATACTTCTTAATTATGCAAAGCGAGATACGTCATCGAAAATGGTATGTATGCATGTAGATTTATGTAGTTGTGTATGTGTGGGTGTTGTTATACGTGTATATTAGGAAAAATCGAATACACAGAAAGTCGTCGAACACTAGTCATCGTTTTTTCTTCCTCTTCCTTTCTCCTTCCCGCTCCTCTTCACGATCATGCAATTTTTCTATGGTACATATTTCTTTCTTTATTATTCATTCACTTTTTATTTTATCAATATTTTCATGTCATCTCATTAACGCTTTCCTCAAAAAACATGCTCGTTAGTAGGTAAAGTAATTTATAATTCTAGAGAGAAAGGCTTCCATGGGTTATTTTTTTGCTTTGTTTTTTTCACGATTTTTTTCCTTATCATTCCCGTTAATAATGACACGATGATAATAATAATAATTATGAATTAATAATTAACAATAATAATAATAATAATAATAATAATAATATTAATAATAATAATAGTATTAAGCTTAATAGTAAACGCTTTTTTAATCATAATTTATCGTACAATTTAAATCGCTTTTTATATTCCGTGCGATCCTCGTGGCGTAAACGAACGCGCTTTTAATCATTTGATTTTTGCTGATTTACTAATTATCTTCATTTTTATTTCTTTCCTTCATTCTTATATATTTTCTCCACCTTATCTATTCCGTATTCGTTTGATATTTGTTGTTGTTAGGTATTAAGAAACAAACAAATGTATTGGTTCGATAGGTGTAACGAGATATATTATCTCGTCATTAGAAAAATTATAATTATTTAATATTTTTCCTTTTGTTTTTTACTTGTTCTTTTATCTTTCGTACGTAAACGTTGCTATTTACTATGTAACGGGTGTTTCGTAATACTCCTGAAGTGGGTCCTACATATATATATATAAATTGTAAATGATATTTAAATTTTTCCTCTTACAATTAGGAAAAAAGGTTCAAAAGGGAAGACAATTTCAAAAGGGAGGACAACCACGTGATCTTCTTCTTCTTCTTGTTTTTCTATTTAAAACAAATATTATCTTTAATATATATCTTTTTTTTTATTTTTTCATAATTTTTTCTTTATCACTTTGAATTGTTCGCCCGAGAACGATATTTGAATATTTTCAAACATATTTTTAAACTATTTTTTTTTGTATTTTAATATTTAATGCGACTCGCGCGCGCAATGGAAAAATCTCTCCGTTATAAAATGTATAAATAAAAACAATTCTAACAATTACAAAACACGAACACACGTCGGATTTTACTGGTATAATAAATCTCGAAAATGTCATAGTAGTGTATAGAAATTTTATGAGTTGCACGTAATGGATTCAAAACAATTTACTATGAAAAGAACAACAAAATTCTGTATCAACTTTCTCCCCCTTTTTTTTCTATCTTTTTTTTCTTCAAGATAACAAATTCTTTCGTATATATACATACAACCATGTAAAGATATCATTTGTTAAAGTCTCAAAATTTGAGGAAAAGTTGTATCAGTAAAAAAGCAACGTTTCGTACGCGTATATATTTAACAAATATATAGATATTAATATATTAATGCTAACAGGTTACTTCAGTTTGTTTTTTTCTTGTAGAAAATTTTACCACCATATTTTATATAAGTAAAAATATAAAATAATGTTCTATAAATATATGCTTGTAAATGTTTTATTAAAAAGTTATAAGAAAAATACGAAATAACAACGGACTTTAATGTTTCATCGAAAGAACAAATTAATTAAATACAAAGTAATGCAACTTTATTTAAATTTCTATCGTATTTAATTGCAAATTAAGGAAAAAGGGATGAAGAAATAAGTAATGAAATAAATTCTATTCTCCGTAGACTTTTAGTCCTGCACATTCATAATAACGGA